GACGCCCATCTGGCTCTAATATCGTAGGTGCAGGGCTGCAATACAAGATAACCGAGACCTGCCCTGTTTTCACAAGGTAGGTCTGATGCCTGTCTTTTTATTTTTTTGCTTTGAGATAGGGTCTGACTCTGTCACCCAGGCTGGAGTGCAGTGGTGTCATCCTAGCCTGCTATAGATTCGGACCTCTGGGCTTAAGTGATCCTCCTGCCTCAGCCTCCCGAATAGCTGGGACTACAGACCCAACTGGGGTCTCACTCTGTCACCCAGGCTGCAGTGCAGTGGCATGATCTCGTCTCACTGCAACCTCCGCCTCCTGGGTTCAAGCGATTCTCCTGCCTCAGCCTCCCGAATAGCTGGGACTACCACGTCTGGCTAATGTTAATATTTATAGTAGAGATGGGGTTTCACCATATTGACCAGGCTGGTTTCAAACTCCTGACCTCGTGATCTGCCTTGGCCTCCCAAAGTGCTGGGATTACAGGTATGAGCCACCGCGCCTGGCCTAATTATTATTATTATTATTATTGTTTTAATAGAGACAGGAGTCTCCCTATGTTGCTCAGGCTGGTCTCTAACTCCTGGCTCAAGCGATCCTCCTGCCCTGGCTTCCCTAAGTATTGGGATTACAGGTGTGAGCCACAGCACCTGGCCTGACCGCTATCATTATAAACCCAGAACCGTACTATAAAAGCTAACTTTCCTGTGAAAAGGCAATGCCATTGGGGCCCCCTATAGATATTCGACAGAATATTCTAGAAACATGCTAAAACAGACTCAACATCCCGTGACAAACTACCAGGGCTTGCTGTAATGGAGCCAGGATTCTGCAATCATACAATAAATATTAAAACAAAAACCATAGGTCCATTACAGCAAGGGCTGCCTGCCAAAGGCCCTGGTCCTTAAGCCTGACCAAGGGGCCTCAGGGGATGCTGTAACATGACACTATGGGGCCTTTCTCCAACAGCAGGCTGAGGGCCCCCCGCATTGTTACTTTCCAGTGTACACTTAATCAGGACGGTTCTATCCCATTATCACACATGAGCACTGGTTTTTTTTTTTGGGTTTTTTTTTTTTTTTTGAGACTGAGTCGCCCTCTGTTACCCAGGTGGAGTGCAATCTCGGCTCACTGCAACCTCCACCTCCCGGGTTCAAGTGATTCTCCTGCCTCAGCCTCCTGAGTAGCTGCGACTACAGGTGCACGCTATCACACCAGCTAACTTTTGTATTTTTTTTTTTTTTTTTTGAGACGGAGTCTCGCTCTGTCACCCAGGCTGG